CCGGGCGGGAGCGGGCGAGGCGGAGGATGAGCTGGTTCAACGCCTCGCAGCTCTCCAGCTTCGCCAAGCAGGCGCTGTCGCAGGCCCAGAAGTCCATCGACCGGGTGCTGGACATCCAGGCCGAGGAGAGCCCCTGGCCCGACGCCGTCATCCCCGACTACGGCGACGGTAAGCGTGGGCGGCGGCGGGCCCCCCTCGCCTCACGGCCTCCGGGGTGGGCCGGGGCGGCACCTTCCCCTCAGCCTCCTCCTCCGCGCCCCTCCCCTGCCCCCCCGCCCTAACCCGGGGCGGGGGCTACACCGCGGGGCTTCACCGGCCCTCCCTGCCCGGAGCCCCTCCTGCAGCGCCGGCGGTACTTCGCGTTCCCCCCGTAGGGGCGAGGAGGGGTAACACTGACAACAAGCGGAGGAAGCCTCGGCAGCACACGCAATACCTGGTTGTTGTCACCAGTGTCGTGCTTTTGTTGCATGGGTAGCACTGGGCTTCATACCCGTATTTCTCAAGGTGTTATTTTTTTGCCGAGGGACTAATAGGTGATAAAAACCACTCAGTTAGTAAAAAAAAAGGGAAATTATGTTCTGAGGCATGCATGGATTCGCTCTTTGCGACAGGAAGAGGGATGCGCTCTTTGCTACAGTAAGAGCGGGGTAGAAGCTGGAAACCTGGTCTGCCTCAACCAAGTGAAGTTTCCACTTTTTGTGGTGTTAAGTGCCTAATCCTCCAATATCTGTTGAAAGGAATGTGTTGGTGGAAAAATTGTCACGGCTTGGTTATGAGGAAGTGTCTCCTTTGTACGTGTGCTCATGTAGAACCTGTAAGAACCATCAGACCTAAACTGCTGCTTGGAAGCGAAAGAGCAAAAAGGAGCTCTCACATTAAAAACTTTTTTCCCCGTGAATAATACCTTAAGAATGAATAAAGAAAAGGCTGAGATACTAAGTCATCTGGAATCAGCGTCCTTACTGCAGCTACATCTGGAAGAACTGTACATATTTGTAGTAGGAGGTTATTTCCAGGTATACCCACAGCAGAGTCAGATTTCTGAAAATTGAAAGCTGTAAGAATTGAAAGTGTTTTCTCGGTTGGTTGCTCAGCAAAGCGTAGGGTCAGTTTTGCATGTCATCGTCCCTTTGTGGGAGCAAGGGCTCGGTAGTCACTTACTTAGTCCAGTGTTGTCTTAAATTACAGGAATTGTTTATAGAAGACTGTGTTGTGCTTAGTTTCTTAAAACTTTAAACTTGTCCAAACTGTTTTTTAATTTAATTTAATTTATATCTTAGTACTTATAGGAGTTCTATAATTCATAAGGAAAGCAGCAAAGACCAGCCTGCATCTGTTTTTCAGGGAAAACATTTATTTTTAAAAGAAGTTAAAATATTTTCTGAATGTTACAGTTCATTCACAGGGCTTTTTCTGAAGCTATTGGATCATGGACAAGGTAGTAATAAATGAGGTGTTTGTAGTATTTTTGGCAATGACAGCAGTAATTATCTGAATTTCAGATCCTTAGGCCAATAGGTATCAACAGTTTCTGAAAGTCGTAGTCTACTTTAAATATTATAACTCTATGTTTTTTAATATATATTGCTGTATAAAATAAGCTTGTTTTTAAGTAGTCGGAAATATGTTATCCAGATTATGCTTGTAGGTACAAAATCAAATTGAATATTATTTTTGGATTTATCTTTCTTACTTGGGATGCTGCTGAAATTTGGTAATGAAATTCTTACTGTCCTTTCTGTTGACAAGTTCTGAAAAACCTGCGAGAAATACAATAATAGTAACTAACTGTTACCTTTGTTTTAGGGCCGCTTCAGAACTAATCAATTCAGTATTTCTCCCTAGGAGAAGAAAATTATCATGTTAGCTGGGCTGCTGACAATGTGTATTGTCAGCTTCAGGCCATTGCTTGGTGTGTGAGGAAAAATATGAAACCTGTCAGAAGCTGAAAGGGCAAGAACCCTTCTTATAGTGTAAATTCTACAAATATTTAAAGCTCCCCCCGCCCCCGTTTTCTGTAATGGTGTGTGAAGTGTTTGTCTGTGTTCTACTGGCAGATAACTTTTAAGGTCTAGTAATTGTTTCCTCCTTTTGTAATCTATATAATTCTCTAAACTACAGTTTTTCAGATTGTTTTGCCTAGCCTCCTCTCACTGTAGGAAATAGGAGGCCACACTGCCTTTCCCTTGTTCCCTTCCCAGAGGAAATGCTTGCTTTTTGTGCCTGAATAGGCTTCAGACTTTCCCTTACAACTTTTGGAATGATGCACGGGCTCGTTTCCCCTTCCCAGACACTTCTCTCCCATCTTCTTTCTGAAATTCTCACTCTTGGATTTACTGACGTAATTTGTCTATGGTTTCTTTCTGCCTTTGCTTAAGCTACTGTTTAACAGGGAGGGAAGAAGTTGGTTCCATTCAGGTACTCCTACTTTCTAGGGGTGTCTGTGTCCACCTTAAGACTTAGAATTACTTCATGTCTCCCTTAAGCTGCTTTTGCTTTGTCTAAAAATCGGTTCCGAGCTTTGTAAGGAAGTAACAAAAATGATGCTGTTTGTGGTCATGTATAATATTCACTTTAAGTTATATGATATTGAAAACATTTTTTCTGGACTGTTGCATCTAAAAAGACAAGTGTTGCAAAATAATACATTTTAAGTGTTCGTGGCATATCTCTTTTTTTTATTGTTTTAGGAACAAATTCTCTCATAAGTGGAGGATGGGATACATCTTCTTGGGGCTTAAGCTCAAATACAGAACCACAGAATCAACCCGTATCACCAACAGCAATCACTAAGCCAGTGAGGAGGACAGTAGTAGATGAATCCGAAAACTTCTTCAGTGCCTTTCTCTCTCCGACAGACGTTCAGAGTATACAGAAAAATCCAGTGGTATCCAAACCTCCAGCCAAATCACAGCGACCCAAAGAGGAAGTGAAAACCACTTTAAAGGAGTCTCAACACCCCAGTCAGCTGGAAGTACCAGTGACAACAGAGGCAGAAGTGAAGGATTCCTCTGTAGCTGCCCTAGCGGACTTGAAAAACCTTGATATTCCCAAGGAGAAATTAGAAGAGAATTCTGTGCTGAAGTCTGATGCCAAGCCTGAAGAAAGCACAAATGAAGGTACTGACAAAAAGGTGTCTGCTCTAACTTTGGAAGTACCTGAGGATGCTCATAATGAAAAATCCAGTGTAGAAGGGGATGGAACGGGAGGTGCACAGCGCAGCACTTCGCAGCCTCTTCATGCAGGTACAAAAGATGTGGGTTTGGAAACTAAGGAGCGAAAGACTGAGGACAGGCAAAGCAATACGCCATCGCCTCCAATTAGCACTTTCTCCTCGGGGACATCCACAACTAGTGATATTGAAGTTCTGGACCATGAAAGTGTAATAAGTGAGAGCTCAGTAAGTTCAAGACAAGAAGCTGCAGATTCAAAATCAAGTCTTCATCTAATGCAAACATCATTTCAGCTTTTATCTACATCTGCCTGTGCAGATTATAATCGTTTAGATGACTTTCAAAAAATGACCGAGAGCTGCTGCTCCTCTGATGCTTTTGAAAGAATCGATTCATTTAGTGTACAGTCTTTAGATAGTAGAAGTGTAAGCGAAATAAATTCAGATGATGAGTTGTCAGGTAGGGCTTCTGCTTCAGCATCTGTCGCTGTCAGTCCTTCTGCGCCAAAGACAGAAACGGTTGATGCCCTGAAAAATAAATCTGAAAACTTGAATGACACCTCTGTTTTACATCCTGAGGAAGCTGAGATGGAAGAGAGTGGGAGAAGCGCGACCCCTGTTAATTCTGAGCAGCCAGATGTTTTGGTTGCTACTGTGCAAACTGTTGAAGAACAGACTGTGAAAGAGGAGGCTGAGCCACAGCAGGATGCTGTTGAAAAATTGTCAGAAGAGGACACTGAAAAGCAAGAGCTTAAAAAGGTAACTGTAAAACATTTTTTGCAAACACACCCTTTAATTACAAATGAAACTCCTGTCATCTCCTGATACAGGTGTTAGCTTCACCTTCTTTGAATGAATTAATTGATGCTGAACTACCCTACCTTGTAGAAAAGTGTCCGTGATATTCTGCAGTGGAAGAACACTGGTGAAATTTCTGGCCAAATAGTTTTGGGTTTCAGCTAATCCACCTAGTTATCATTATTGTGAATTGAGAGTAGTGCTAGCAAACAGGAAGCCTTGATAAGTCAAATGTGTTGGCTTAATTTTTTTTCTGTGAAAGGTGGAAGGGATTCCTTGAAGTATTTTGATTTGAATTATGGAACCACAAGCCTTTAGTATTTCAGCAATAATCAAGATAATATTTTGCAAGCGTTTTTTTCCAGACTTACAAACTGTCAAAATTTGTTTACATTCCAGGAGTGTTATTCATGTTCTTTGAGGATAGTAGTAGTTAGTGTAAATAAGTCCTTTTTACTAGATAAATTAATGTCTGCTTCTAGCAGAAATAATCTTTACTTTAAAAAGAAGTTTTTTTAATGAAGAAGATAAGCCTAGTTACAGATAATGAATGGATTAAAAGAAATTTGGATGGCTAGTTTAAATAGACAAAATGACTAGAAATGTGGCAAAGTAGGATACTCAAGCCTATGGAAGGCTAAACTGTAGCTTTGAAGCAGTGTGCTTTGTCCAGTTCTGCCAGTGTACTGTGTGTGCTATCTTTTTTCCATTTCCTTTGTCACCTTCCTGTTCCTCTGTTCCTGTTTTTAATTTCTGAGCTCCTTTGACATGTGTTTTGTTCTTCTTTCTTTGCATTTTGCTTTGCTCATAGTCTACATGCCTAATATGTGACATAGATGGGCCCTACTCATGGCTGTGCCCTGTAGGCGTGTTTACAATACTGATGCTCTTTCTGATAGTAATAAAGGAAAAGCAATTGCTTATGGGAGTTCATAAAACCCCAATGTAATCTGTGTTTTAAGGAAAGCATTTGTTTGTGTAAATTGTACAGAATGTCAGTGTAAATTCCTCGGGGAACTCCATAGCCATGTACTGTTATCCGTAAGTTTTCCTAACTTAAATGGTTATACATTACGGGAAATAGTGATAATGGACCACAGCAAATTTTGTCTTTCATTGGCCATATTGAGTTACATTTATAGAATGTTTCATTTGCTTATATTTGCATATGTGCATGTATGTTTGTGTGTTTTCTCTATATTTAGCTTTCCAAAATCTGGTATTAAGAAATTACTTTGATGATGGGAGCTAAGAGCTCTTGATCCTGCCTGGAAGTTTGCTTCCCTCATCTGACATTGTTTTCCTGCTTTGTGCTAACGTTTTATGGAAGAGAGCTTCCAATGTAAATTATTCTGTGATTCTGTAAAGAGTGGTATAAGGATCATTGCGAGTCTTAATGGTTAATGTTAGCTACAGTTTTATAGGCTATATCAGCTCTGTTTAAAAACTTCATTTGTAATTAAATATAACTGTTGATGATTTTGTTGAGGACCTTAGCTGAGCCACGTGTGCTTATTTGGCAGGAGTTCTACACCTGTAGAAAACAGGTGTCTTGTGTTTAGGTATTGCTTAGTTCTAAATTAATGTGGTAATCTTCACTGACTTCTACCTCAAATTCCTAAAAACATTAAGTTCAGCTTTAAGTAGTGTTGGGAGGGAGTGGTGGGGGGAAAGGGGAAGCCTGCCCCTCTTGTGTTTTAATTGTCCCATTCATCTGATCTTTATCTGTAAAAACGTTGTCCAGATGATTGATTCATTAACTGAGAAACTGGAGAAGAGGGAAATACAGTTATTAAGTACTAGTAAAGAAAAGGCGCGTCTGGAAGAAGCTTATGATAACCTAAAAGAGTAAGTATGAAAATTACACAGTAGTGGGTGTAACTGTAACTTTAATGTAATACAATCAGTAGACAATATCGTAAAACAAATAGCTTTATAGCTAGAACAAAGGTTGCAAGGGATATGCACTGTTTGGGAAAGGTGGAAATAGTGCTTGCATGTGCTGTGATGGTGTTTTTTTTAAAGACACATTATTTCTTGGGGACAAAATCTCTTTTGGGAAGAAGCTGGTGAAAGATTTTTCAGTAAGTAAGCAGTAGGAATGACAAGCAGATGTGTAGAGGCAGGCTTGGTTATTAATAAAGGTCTGTTATAAGACTGGATTCAGCTACTAAGGGAGACTGACTTTTCTAATACCGATGGATGAACCTGATTTACTAAGTAATTTGCTGACGAAAATGTAGGCAGTGAAATTGTGGTAGAAGGGCTGGTTGTAAGGAAAAACCTGAATTCATTATTTAATTCAGTTAAAAGGAAAAAAAATGAAAGGTTGGATTTACCAGTTTACTGATCAAATATCAAGTTTAAAAATTTGCAGATAACATGTGAAGGTATTATTTAATGACTAAATTGATCTTAACTTAAAAATACATTTAATCATTTGCCCTGTATATGATATAGACTCTGGTTAATCAGAAAGAACTTGATTAAGGGGCAAAACGTTTAAGGTAAATCAAGCATTTCATTGTTTTCATGGGTAAATTACTGAATTAATAAAGATCTTTGATTAGTACTTCTAATATGGATGTGCTTTTTTGACTTCTGGTTAATGTGTGTAAAATAAAAAAAAAAAAAACAAAACACATTTTAAAAGCATTTAAGACAACCTGTTGCAAACTGCTTGGAATGTCACATAACCGTGCAACTGTTCTGAAATGTTAATTTTAAATGTAGTGAAATGTTTAGAATGAAAGAAGAGAGCAGTAGCCTTTCATCTCTTAAAGAGGAGTTTGCTCAGCGAATTGCGGATGCTGAAAAGAAGCTCCAGCTAGCCTGCAAAGAAAGAGATGCAGCTAAAAAGGTAATTTGGCTTTTTAGTGAAATTAATGTTTATTATTTTAGTACACAATTAAATTTCTTGAGGTAAATTCATAAAAATTAAGCTAGGGAAAAGCATGAGACCAACAAGTGCTATCTCGTGGTATTAGTAACTAGCATAAGCTGATTCTAGCTTCCCAGGCTGCTTGTTATTTCCTTGTGTTGACACATGTATTCTTACAGCGGTGTTGTGAACCAAGTTAGGGAACTCATTTAAGTTAAAGTTAGTCTGGTTTGGGAAAAAAAAAGGTTTAATGTCTGCCCTCATTTACCTTGTGCCCATATATTCATTTACATTGCTGTGAGGGAGAAGAACGGCCTGGGGATGTGGGGAAGTGGCGAAGAATGGGGATGGCTTCTGTAGAGGATTAACTGGTAGGCAAATTAAGGACTGAGGACAGATTGGTTTGGAATGAGCAAAGAAGTCTGCAGCAACAAAGTTTATGGAGTTTAAATGTTCTTGACCTGGTATCACAGCATTACATTTCTCTGGCTCATTGCTAATCTGTAAAAAGTAAACTCAAATCTGTAACTGCAAAAAAAAGATATTTTTGACAGTTGTTCTGTCACTTTATGTGTCACTGTGTTGGCACCGTACTAAGTTGAAATAGAAAAATTACCCGATACCTGTGTGTGATTATAACAGTTTGTTTTTACTATATGGCAAAAGTTTAAAGTATAGAAAGTGAAATGGAAGAGGAGTTGGAACAAATTGTACAGAGAATTTATGGAGTCTCAATCCTTGGAGGTTTTTAAAACTTGATGGGATAAGGCTCTGAGCAATCTGATGTGATCAGATACTCTCCAGAGTTCTCTTCCAACCTAAATTGTGTTCAAATAAAAGCATTTTGAGAGGAAGGGGAGAAGAAAAAGGTGATCAGTGTAACTTACTGTGCATTTTTCCTTAAATATATTTTAATAAATGGTCCTAAGTATTTTATCCTATTATTTAGGAAGTAAAGACTGTTAAAGAAGAATTGGCTACTAGACTTAATACCAATGAAACTGCCGAATTACTGAAAGAGAAGGAAGAGCAAATCAAAGGATTAATGGAGGAAGGTAAGAATTAACATTTTTTTAAATAGTAAAAATCTGGAGAATAATTTGAAATGTAATGCCTTCACATATGAGCCTTCTTTATGTGGGAAAATATACAACACTTGAAGCACGTTAGATGTTTCCGAATATTTGAACCATTTAGTTAATAGCAAAGAGCAACAGGAGGGATCAGTCAAGCACAGATGGCAGGAGGGGTACTTTCTGCAGTATGCATTAAAAGGTGCTGTGAGATAAAACCAGCAGGCAGTACAACGCTCCATCTTCCATTCAGCAGAAATCTAACAGGGGCATTGTTTAAGGCATTTCTACAGTGTCTCCCTTGCTACTTTTTAATTTTGGAAGTAGAATGTAGTTACGAAACGAACAGGCTGTTTCGGGTTTTTTCCTGATACGATGAGCTCTTTTGCTTTACTTTCAAAGCCTCTCACTGCCTATCCTGTCTCACTATAGCTTAGTGTAGCAAGGTCATCTCAGGATAAGGTAGATTTAAAACTTAAGAACTTGCATGAAAAAATGTAAAAGTAAGTATTTCCATATGTATTTGATTACTGTTTTCATGGGACTGAAGAGTAGGGGGAGGTGTGAATAGAGAGAGTTCATAGAATAGCAGAATTATGCACTAGCTTTATGTTCATTTTCTTCATTTTCAAGGAGAAAAGCTTTCCAAACAGCAGCTGCACAATTCCAACATTATTAAGAAATTAAGAGCCAAAGAGAAAGAGAGGGAAAATACTAACACAAAACAGAACAAAAAGATTAAGGAAATGGAAGAGGAGTTGCAGCATTTAAAACAGGTGAGATACTTTGGGATTTTTTTTTTTTTAAAGCTTTTTATATTAGCTGCAGAGTAGCCTTTTAGGGAGGCTCCAGATAGACTGATATTTTTCTTTTCTGGGAGACTTCTCTATTTCATATTATCGGAATACTGAGATCTGATTTCTGTGTGTGTTCTCAGAGCAGTTTAAAACTGCGGTCAGGTATCTTCCCAGCTGCTTGTTTGCACTTGCACTGCTAGTTATCAGGTGGACTGACCAAATTCAGTACACTAAATTTTAGTTGGAAAACCTGTACCAGCAAAATTTGGGGGGTTTTTTGCTTGGTTCGTGATTTAATCAAGACCTTACAAGCAGCAGACCCAGTAAGAGGAAGTACGCGAAACTGGTGAAGAAGAGCCCCCTCCTTGGGGGAAGATGGGGGAGAAACACCTTTGTCTTGGTGAAATGTTGGATCGGTTTAGTCATTTTGTGTAACTTCATCCTGAATTGGTTGCCGCAGTTGTCATTGTCCTTAGGTGGCGTTGTCTACCCCATGTACTGGGATTAGTGTCGTGCTTCTTGTTTGCACTCTAACAGGTGCTTGATGGCAAGGAGGACCTTGAGAAGCAACATCGAGACAGCATTAAACAACTGAACAGTGTTGTAGAGCGACAAGAAAAGGATCTTGCTAAACTTCAGGCAGAAGTGGAAGACCTTGAAGAACGGAACAGAAGTGTCCAGGCAGCACTTGACAGCGCATACAAGTAAGCAGATATTTGTGTGCCTGTCTTCAACCATACGTTCAGCTTCTGTGTCTGTTTCTTGTGCAAAGGTTGTGAAATGTTAATATATAACAAAGTTATTTGCAAAGTCACTGTTGGCATTGTATAGACTGTAAAAAGCATTGCTTTTTCCGCACCCTACCCCCCCCTTCCTAGGGAACTTGCAGATCTTCATAAAGCTAATGCAACAAAGGACAGTGAGGCACAAGAAGCAGCCCTAAGTCGGGAAATGAAGGCAAAGGAAGAGCTTGGGTTAGCTCTGGAGAAGGCCCAGGATGAGGCACGACAACAACAAGAAGCTTTGGCAATTCAGGTGGGTCTTAAATGCAGTGAATAAAATGTTTGCATTGAAAAAGTGAATGTGCTCCGATGGTGTGTGCATCTGACGTAATGAACCAGATGCAATATAGGGTGGAACTCATATTTGTGTACTTAGCCGATACTCAATGGATTTCTTTCCTGTGAACTTGTTCAGTCTTTAGTGGTAGTTGTGCTAAGCTTTAAAATTTTAATTTTATTAACAAAAATACTTTTAATTTTACTTGTCTAAATAAAGGGACTTTGACAAGCTCTATGTTAATTTCGTAGTGCTCTTACCGTGATGCAAAGTTCAAGAAATTTAGTTGGACGAAATTTTTAGTGATAGATAAACGAGTGTAACTATTTGTGTGCGTGCAAAACTTAAGCTTTTAACTTGTAAACAGATACACCCTGTTTAACAGTGTTTGAAAGTGGTATAGGACTGTAGCAATGAATAGGCGGTACTATAACTTTTGGCAAGAGATTAGTGACGATGTCTTGTTTATTTAGGTGGCAGACCTGAGGCTAGCGCTGCAACGTGCAGAACAGCAGGCAGCAAGAAAAGAAGACTATTTACGCCAGGAAATCGGTGAACTACAACAGGTGCTGTAGCAAATAGATGATGCCGACTTGTATCTGCAAGGAGGGCTTCTAAAAACTGAAAATGAAATGCTAACTTGACATTAATAGCCTGAAAAAGAGGCTTTGTTTTCCTGGTTACCTGCAGTATTTGTCCTGTGTAGAACAATAAAAATATTAAAGCAAATGTTTTTTTAATCACGTATTGAAAACAAAATCATAATTTTTATGATACCTTTTAAATGTAATATTATCCTTTTAGTATAAGGCAAAGTACAGCCATTAAGTTTGTAATAGTCCTCTCAAATTGCTAGCCAATATGTTCTAAATTACTCTATAGCTGCTGCTTAAAAATATTTTTGTTGTTCTTAAGGTCCAGAAGATATATAGATTGTTGCCAATATGTTTCAAGTGATGTCCCGAGGGCTCCTGAAATGTAAATTTCAGGGCTGTTGCTCTGTCATGTATCTAAAAATGTTAGGCTTCTATCTTGAAATTTCACACTTTGAGTCTGAACATACGAATTTTAGAATGTAAAGCCACTGCTATGTGTTGAGCTGAATTCTGTATTAATCTTTTAATCCATCATATGATTTTAAAGCTTAATTATATTTAATTTGTGATTTCAGAGACTCCAAGAAGCAGAGAGCCGGAACCAAGAACTAAGTCAAAGTGTTACATCTGCTACACGGCCACTTCTCCGGCAGATAGAAAACCTGCAAGCCACACTGGGAGCACAGACCTCTGCGTGGGAAAAATTGGAAAAGAACCTTTCTGACAGACTTGGTAAGATATTTTTAGGTTTTGCTGAACTTGTGAGGCTCTTGATGAAGATGTGAGATGGCTGAAGGTGAAAGAAAAGGGCTTGACACTTGCCCAAAGCTTAGATGGTGGGTCAGGAGAGGTGAGCACAAAATGCTTTTCTGTAAGGAAATGGTATGTGGGGTATTCTGGCAAGGTTGTTGGACAGGTGGTTCATTGGTTCTCTTTAAAACACAGCGTAACATGAGATTGAAGATAGAGGTGTTAAGGTGTACATGTCCTTACGGCATCTAAAGGAAGGAGGGACATTGAGACGCTGAAGTACACCAGCATTTTCAGTTGTCAAGCCTGGTGCTTTGATTCTGTACTCTAAAGGTTCAAATCATTTACTTACCTAATTGCATAGGTAATGAGACATATATTTGTTGATATAGTAGTAATCTATTATTTTAAATGAAAAATGCATGAAATGCCCAAAGGTGGACACAGAGAAATTGCTTCTTTTCTGGAGGCAATCTGTAGTTGTATATTACGTGCTGAAAGAGTATGAAGTCTCCTTGTTCTGCATTGCCTTGTTTCTCTAACTGTATGGTGGAAAATATTTAATTTCCTTTAAAACAGAAAACAGTTCTTGTTTGTGTGGTGTTTTTTTTTTCTTTTTGAAAAAGCAAAATTAGTTTCATCTAAAAAAATCCCAAATTCCATTTTGATGCTTAAATAATTGGTCCATATTATGGATGTTTGATCAAAACAGTTAAATTCTATGGCTTTCTTTACTTAATATTAGGTGAGTCTCAAACTCTTCTAGCAGCAGCTGCTGAGAGAGAACGGGCTGCTACAGAAGAACTTCTTTCTAATAAAATTCAGATGTCTTCTACTGAATCTCAGAATAGTCTTTTAAGGCAAGAAAATACACGCCTTCAGGCTCAGCTAGAAGTGGAGAGAAACAGGTTGAAGAAAATGGAAAATGAAAACAGTAGGTGAGTTGCATTTTTGGTTAACAGTGTCTCTTTAAAATTGTAGCGAAATGGAGTAAGCTCTCTCTTGCATAACCACCTGCAGCAGATCTCTTTGCAAGTTGGAAGACTTGATTCTTTTCAGTGTTGATATGACTGTACAAAATGATGACTGCTATTGCAAAGTTGCCCAGCTGATTAAAGATATTTTGTTTCATGTTAAAGATTGTCTGAAGTATGTTACTGTCATAATGTTTTAAAGCCTTGAAGCTATGTTTGTTTTAAAAGTATATGAATCTAAACACAGAATATGTTTACTTACTGACTTTCTCTACCTCTTTCTTTCCTCAATGTAGGTATGAAATTGAACTAGAAGGGCTCAAAGATGAGTATGCAAAAACCTTGGAAGATGCAAAGAAAGAAAAGGTATTGCCTACTTCAATTTTAAGCTATGTTATCGTTGAAGTCTGAGCTGGCAGGAGTTTAACAACCTGTATTTATTTTTGTAGACGCTGCTAGCTACTCAGCTAGAAATGGAGAAAATGAAAGTTGAGCAGGAAAGAAAGAAGGCAATTTTTGTGCAAGAAGCAGCAAAGGAGAAGGTACCAAAACCTAACATTTCTGTTCAATCTTATTTATACTATCATTATTTTAGTAGATATCTAGAACCTGAAACTGTCTCAGGCAACAAAGTGGACTTAGAGCAGTGCAGTATATACTGTCAGCCTAGGCATTAGGGACTTGGCTTTTTCTTTATTGTGACTGCCTTTTATTTCCAGTGAAATAAGTACTTGTGCGATACGCACTGAAATGAGTCTTGAGTAATAGTCTGTTTAACCTGAGAAGAGATAAAATATGGATAATGATTGGTTTAATCTTCTGGGTTTTTTTTTTTTTGAATGCTCTTGGATTCTGTTTCTTCTGAAGCTACTTGTTTTCTTTGCTTAGGCTACTAGCATTGCTTCCACTGAATTCCTGTTCTGCATTTCACGTGGCTCTGTAATGTACCGCCTGCTTTCCAGCTCAAGTCAAAAGTCACAGAACAGTCCTCAATAGTCAGTAGCTTTGTTACTGCTAATTAGGAGTTGATATTCAAGTAAAACTGTTTGTATTGCTGGTTTCTTACCATCTCTAGTTCTAAAATCTAAGTGCTTTATCCTTCAGAGGCTAGCATATTTTCAGATGCTGCCTGTAAAAAGAGGTTAGTCTGTTTGGAAGGCATGTCAGTAAGGCATTAGCATGTGAGAAATCTCAGAATTGAATTAATACACTTTATTAGAAAAAAAAAAGTATTAACATGCATTCTGAAAAGAGATGTACTTCTGGGTTTAGGATATTCTTCCTGTGATACTTTTGGGCATACAAAATTGCCTCTCAATCTCCCTTGGCTACTTGAAAGAGAAATTCTTTTGGTGTAATCTGCAGCTTCTGTCTTCATTTCCTGAAAAGTCTGAGGATTTGAACGTAGGCTAGAAGTGTTAGTAGCACAGCAATTCTTCATTGGAAGAAACGTTATCTGTCATATTATGTTTATAAGTGGTGGTGGAAAAGGGCAGTCTGTTCTTTACAGAACCTGTCTTCAACCATCTTTAAAACCTTTTTCATTATCTAACTGGTGATGTTGTGTGGGTTTTTTTGTTGGTTTTTTTTTTTTTTTTTGAGGATCGGAAGTCATTTACAGTTGAAACTGTTTCAAGTACTCCAACTATGTCACGCTCTAGTTCCATAAGTGGAGTTGACATGGCAGGTCTTCAGACATCTTTCCTCTCACAGGTATTGTATATCAGTTACATTGGCCTTTTTTTGACAGACTGCTTTTTCTCCTCTTCAAGAACTTCTATTAATTTAGAAAATGTCTCTTCAAGAGTATATTGGCCTTAGACGACGTAATTCCTATGCAGAAATGTCTAAAACCTGCCTAAAAGATGTCTATGATTGTAAAACATCTGTGAAAGCTAGCGTGAAAATACGACTTTTATTGCAGAGTAATATATGCATGTATTGGTGCTGAGCTCACATGTCTAATTTCATCTAGAAGAATTGAATAACACTAGTGGGAGTCAAATCAATTGATTTAATTTTATCAGCCATCCTGGTTTAGGGCACAACGCTGCTCCCTAGGCAGTATCATTGACTGTTGTGGTCTGTGTGAAGTCTGCTGCTTCTGCTGCTTTCCTATGGATACGGTTATTGATGTCCAAATGGCAGTTGTACAGGCGACACGAGAACTTGCCAGTAAGGAGCTGTCTCAAATTGTACCTATTCACCTTAAGCTCTTGTTTTGAAAACAAGCTTTAAGCATTGAAATGCTTGCCTAGTTACAGTGTAATTTAAAATCTTAAATACAATAATACTTTGGGAGAGGGAAGATTCCAAAGGGTGCACATTTTTGTCTAATTTTAAGCTTCTCTAACCTTTTCTTTGTAGGATGATCCTCATGATCATTCATTTGGGCCAATAGCTGCTAGTGGGAGCAATCTTTATGATGCTATTAGGATGGGAGCAGGTTCAAGTATCATTGAAAACCTTCAATCACAGCTAAAACTAAGAGAAGGAGAGATTTCTCATCTACAGGTACTGTAGTTAATCTTATATAACCAAACACAGCATTTATAAGTGTAAATACTAATGCAATCAATATTATATTCAAATTTTATATTCAATATAAAATATATGCAATCAATTTTATATTCGGAAAGCTTGGTCCTTCTCCTCACAGCAGAGTGCATTCACTCTTCCCTTTTCATGACAATTCTGTTAAGCAGGATAGGAGGTATGTGTAGAAGAGCAAGAGAAGGATTTGTTGCTTCCTTTTTTGTTTTGGCAAGTAGCTATACAGAAAACTGAACTTGTCTATCTGAAAAAGAAAAAACCCAAACCACTGATCAGGTTTGAGAAGAAAGTGAGAGTGCTTCCAGGGTGTGCTGTTTCATAGCCTGGCTTAAGAAAAAGCCTTAATTACCCTATCAAAATATTTTGATACAGTGTTTTATAAATATTGTAAATTCTGTCCTCCTCCTAATTGTTAAAAGTATTTACCTTAGCTGGAAATTGGAAACCTTGAGAAAACTCGATCAATAATGGCAGAAGAACTGGTTAAATTAACAAATCAAAATGATGAACTTGAAGAAAAAGTGAAGGAAATACCAAAATTACGTGCACAGTTAAAGGTAAGTGTATTTCTGTTGCAAATCTGATGTAAAATTGACATATTTGGGTTTTTTTTTTAGGAATACCCCTATCAATTTAGGATTATATCCAAATCTGTCCCTAATCATAAATGACTGAAGAACCTGGTTTTGGTTTTGTGGGGGTTTTTTTTGTTTTTTGTTGTTTTTTTTAACCGTAGAATCTGAAAATACCTACTCCATGACTAGGTGGTCACTTCAAAATGCAGTTGTTAGAAATGTGTGCTGTGCATAAGATTGCGTGCTAAATCAGGGAGAGAATGTTTTTTTTTCTCTCATTTAAGACACTTGTCTGGAAGTAGTCTTTGTAGAGGAGGGGGTGTTTTGATAAATAGCATGGATTTATGAGAGCGATGCAGAAGCTGAATGAGTGTGCAGTACTGATACAGGTGATAGGACAAATATTTTAATCCTCTGAATGTTTAAGAACTTAAATTGAAATATTGGTAATAGTTCTGGAATAATTTTGGAAATGGTCATTGTTCTTTAAATGCAGAATGTTAAATTTCCCGATGAAACATTTCACAAACTGTGGTCATTCCTGTAGTAAAACTTAGTGCAGTTTGCTAACTTTTTTAATGCTTACAGCAGTTGAACTTCAAGGTGCTTCAGTGCATCCTCCGAAGCCAGCACTAATTCTCTGTAGTCAAGGATCTTTGTCTTTGGAATATCTTCATTTTATATCTAGAGTATAAATGTAGCCATATTGAGGGAGTCAAAGCATAAAGTATTTGTGAAGAGTTTACTACGTGCTTCGTTATAAAACAGTGATACTTTGATAAAATAATGCTACGCTTATTTTCCTTAGTAGTGTAAAACACTATCCTAGCAGCAACTTTTTTAAAGTTGAAAAACAGTCAGATAATAAACTACGTGTCCTCGCAGGATTTGGATCAAAGATACAATACAATTCTTCAGATGTATGGAGAGAAAGCAGAAGAAGCTGAAGAACTCCGACTAGATCTCGAAGATGTGAAAAACATGTACAAGACTCAGATAGATGAACTTTTAAAACAAAGACAAAACTAATTCTTTGCTGGAACTCTTAACATTATATGATAACAGATTGTAAAGAGAATTGTTTCTGTAAATGCTGAATTTAAATGTCTTGTAAAAAAACCCCAACAAACTGTATTATAGAAAGTGTGACTATATAATAGAGTTCATATGTTGACAAAAAAAAATCAATGCTTTAAGTGTCTTGTACTGTCTGCAGTTAAATTATTTGTGCAATATTTAAATTTTTTTCTCCATCATCCCTTATTTAATTTCTTGCTAAACGGTGGACCATTTTGCTTGTAAACAGTAGCAGAAGTGACGATTGTTACCTTGAGACCAGCACTGAAAGGCATGAGTTTTACTAAAACAGCCCTGGATTCAGAAGAAAATGACATTAGAAGTCTTTTTTAAGTGTTCTTAATAGAGTTTTTCTAAAATCTCATCCGTAAATTTTTACTAACAAAATAGCAGTGGCTTGCTATCTGAAGCATAATTGGTGGATATTTTTATGACAGGAAAATCTCATATTTGTACTCACAACATCTGAACATGTTAGGATGATAATTCTCTATTCTTAGACAAATCAGATTAGTCGGACTATTTTATCCTACGTCCTCTAAGCACTTGAGTGTGAAAATCAGCTGAGACTTTATAAATTGCAGCTTCATCTTGTATATTGCTTGTGTTGTCTCATGAGCCGTCTAGAGACAGCAGCTCTGCTTGTAATTCTAAATGTGTTTAACTTTTACCACCAGAAATCCAAACTATTCAATATTTGTTTTAGACTTGGATGCTGATTTTTAGCAGTAGCTAAAACAGTTCAGAGGGATGCAGAAAAATGATGATTTTTTTGTTTTTAATTAATTGCTGCTGCTCTCATGGTTCCTTCTATGTAAGTAGCAAGGTTTAGACTTTTTGCAAAATGGTACCGTGACTTAATATAGCTTTCAAGCAAGTCTCTAGTGGCTGCAAAGTATTTCTCATGCCATTCCTTAAGCAAGGTATTGGTCAAATAGCATCGACGTGGCTTGAAGTTTAGCTGCATTTTCGGTGATGTCAGAGGAAACATTTGAATTGGACCCTTGGGAATGCTGAGAATCGGGGGAAGAAGCTTGTGTCTTCCTCTCTGCGTTCCAGACAGCAAATATTTTGCTACATCTCAGAACTGTAGCTGTGGTGGGTACTCGTGTGAAATACTCGGTAGTTGAAATTCTTTGCTTATGATACCATTGCTTCTGTTGTGAGAGGTTTTTTTTTCACATCTGTGCGCATTGTAATTTGTGTTAGAGAACTCTGTTCCTGCTTGTGTATTCAAGTGGCCTGAGAGAGACGAAGGATGTGAATGATGAGACATTGCTTCTGGAGAAAAGCCTCTCAGTAATATGACTTTTCTATGGCTGTTAGGGATCTATTCCTCATTGGGAGAACAGTTAGTCACTGAAGTTACACAGGCAAGGGTATGTTCGTGGAAAAGCCTAGTTCAGTTTGAGATTCAGGCAGTTATTCTGAGGATTTCAATAAAGCCATAGAGCAAGAACACTAAAATTTGGCTTAACTCCCTATCTGTCACAGAAACTTTAACTGCTTTAATAAAATAAAAGACTTTTTTTCTTTCCCTTTTTTTTTTTTATTTCTTTTGGTGGGGAGGTGGGAAGGAACTACCCTCCTACTGTCTTCGTTTCAGTTTTGGAAACCAAGGTGAAACCATTTTTCTTCTGAAAAATTCAGAATTTAACACTTTTGCCTTCATATTGAAGCATGGTTGGTTGCTCTAGGTTTAAAAAAAAAACAAAAACCCCACAAAAAACCCAAAATCACACTCCAGATAAAAGCACTTGTTGGAACTTACTGATTTGCTGTTAGAATTATGATGTGCAAATGTTAGAAGTTCAGCCTTTTCTTAAAAAAAGACGACAACTTTTTATGATGGTCAAAGATCAGAAATTCTATTCAGCTTGTATCTACTGCAGTGAATCAATAAATTGCTGATTTTAAACTTTTTTTTTTTTTACAGTCTTGGTAGACAAATGCAGCACTCCTTAAAAAAAAAAAAAAAACAAAAAACAACCAAAAAAAACCCCAATCCTTTGAACTTTTATTTGGACCTCTTGCTGCCAGTGCTTTTGAAGGTAACATTTCCTGTGTAATGTGTGAGGAGATACTCCTCGGGGGCTGACACAGGTGCAGTTGTGAGTATGTCTTAGACTATCTTGGTTTTTCAGGAAGAGCTTGGGTAAATGGGAAACTTTAACATGCAGTCAGCATTAACTGTTTTAGATAATAAAATGATTAGATTTTTAAATTTTACAAAAGTAGATGTAAATATTTGTATTGACTGTTTTTGGATTCTTTATTCCCATTTAGTGCAACCTTTACTACCACATGAGAATCAGATGGCCTACTGTGTCTTAATCATCAAAGCCTTAGAAAACAAAGTGGCTGTTGGAAGGTAACAGACTTTATTCTGTTTTGGTCATCTTTGATATAGGTCTTGTATGCTTGTTTTGAAGAAGCATTAAGATCAATGCCTGCTTGGACATCTTAAGTTGGTTGCTATTACTGAGATTGCCTGGAAAAGTAACATGCAAAATGAAAAGGACTTGGGTCAGAATACTAATGTCCACTTCTGTTTATTACTTCCTTCTGAAAGCAACTAATTTATACCTCACTTTCACTGCATACACAGGTATGAAGAAATGCTATTTAAAGGCTTACTCAAAGTATACTGAGGGGGTTTATTTCCTAGTTTTACCTTCCATAACGTAGGTGGGTTTGGGTGAGGTATAGGCTACGCTGGTGTTCACTTCTCTGGGTGTTGTGTTGCGTCCTTTATCAACACGGGGGGTGATGTTCGAAATCCTAGGTATCCATACATGAGAGAGAGAGGGTTAGTTCTATTAATTTTTTTGTCCTGCTATAACTTTGTTGCAAATTATGTACGTACATTTTACTAAGGGCTATAATAATCCTGCATTTGAAATGAAATGGGTTATCGCACGGTGAAATTGGAACCCTGGGTTTCTAGTTGTAAAATGTGTATAAACTGTAAAAAGCATAGGTCAGGGTAAAATAAAATTTTGTGCTAAGAGTGTGCTCTGGTTCTCTTTGAGAAAAGACTTAAAAATAGTTTTATGGTGGGTGGGTGTGCATGAACCTAGTGGTATGTAAGGAAAATATTGCTAAAGTTAGAACATAGCAAACGTAGTTTGAATTCAGAGTTACAAGTGCCAGTTACATCTTGTGGTGTCGTGGGTATTTAGGGTGGTTTATTTATAAATTCACCGCAGTAATGGGGTTAAAGATAATGTGAAATCCAGACTAGTTCTTTACTGAAGCCGAACGGCCTCCTGAGCCCGCGGTGCCGGCGGCCTGCACGCCCGCCGGCCCCTCGGGCCCCCCCGTGGGTCCCCCCCCGGGCCGGGCGGTTGGCCCCCACCTTTCCC